ATCCATGACCATCCAGTACTCTAAGTACATCCATAGCATTATTGATATCTAATGGACAAAAGATATTCTGAAGCATCAATGTATTGTATTTCCTTGAATAAGAGCTTAAGGGTTTATTTTTATAAAGATTAAAAATTTAGGTAAATAAAAAATGACCCTAAAGCCAGGCATACACTAGGTAACATGTTGCCTAGTGTATGCCTGGCTTCACTCACAATTAATGCAAGTACATTGTAGTTTCTAACAGTCCTACCAATCAGGGCCACTGAAAATATGCAATATCAATATATTAGTGATGGGTGCTTATAAAGGCCTTTCTACACTTGCAATGAGGTTTGAACTGGTTTAGAACTGACGAGCATTGAAAGGGCATCAGGTGATTCCACACTACCTTCAGGATCATGTATATTTTGATAGTATTTCTCATCCAGCTGCTATTGGTTATCTATTGAATGCGCATTCAAACCACATACCGTAGGGCGCCTTTTTTTCTAGGGCTATAAATTTCGTGGATTTCATGATTTTTTTAAAGATTCATGAAAATTACTTTCGCGAAAATCAAATGTACAAGTACAAGATGGCAGATGGCATAAATTCATGAAAATTAAATCCGCGAAATAAAATTTATAGCCGTCGAAAAAAAGGCACCCTACGGTATGGAGGTGGTTTGTCATAATGCGCATTGAAGTCAATGTGCATCAGGTGTGGAATGACTGGAACTGGTTCCAAACCAGTTCAATGCGCGTTAGAAGTGCTAGTGTAGAAAGGCCTTAAATTGAAAAGGTGCTTATTTAGCATAAATTATTTACCTAATAATTGTTGCATTGTCAATCTCTTAGCAGGTGGATTGGAGGGTGGAGTTTCAGGTACTTCTACTAAATAAAAAGTCAATTGATAAATACTAATTTATATACATATTAACCTTGTCATCAACTATAATATTAAACCACACAGACACACAGGAATATAGAGGTCTATACATGAATAGCAGTCAGTAAAGAAGTAAAAAAGAAACAGGAGAAAGTATTGATGAAGTGCTACAAGCTCCACTCAAGTTTTGAACAGTACAAACTCATTTATGGAACTATTCAAGACTAGCTTTACTTAAGGCGGGTTGTGAAGTTTCAATAATAATAAAAAAATAATAATTATGACGCTAGGTGTCATTTTTAATCAAAAGTGTGGGCAATTATTCCTTACTTTCTCTTTTAATCTCATGAACTAAAGCAATCTCATCCATCTTCTTCAGTGCTTGTACTAATGTATCATAAGTTGGACTACCAACACTCGTTACATCAGCTTGCTTCAACCATGCCTTCAAGCACTCTGCTAGACATCTATTAACATCTTCTTTGTGATCAGCCTTAATAGCATCAAGTGTAGCAGAAGTCAGACCCAGATAAAGACCAAGATTATAATAACTGACATCAGAATATCCGTGCCTCTTTAGTAAATCAAGTATCTCATCAAGATCATCGATTCCGGGCCTATACAAAATGGAAGGAATAATTCATTAACGGAGCATAGCAGACTCAATATATAGTGACTAACCTAGTGGCTGGTGTAGTTTTGATTCTTTTACAAAATGAGTTACCATTTTAAACTTGGAAATTCAAATCTCTCTGTGACTGTACTCACTGTAGTGCGCGGACACAGGGACAGACTCCGACAGTGCAGCAGCGGGCTAGCAGCAGCAGCTGCCAGATCATGTGACTCAGTCAGAGTCAGAGGATCAGAGCAAAGATAATAAAATAATATGAAAATGAATAGACTTTTTAGTTTTAATTTTTAAATATGGTTAGAAGGGAGGTCACTGCAGGTCAGGGGCTTAGAGCATGAATTTCATTAGATTTTGACTTTAAGACTTTTTAACAAAGAAATAAAACACGAGAAGAAATATATAAAGAAGAAAAAGAAATAAAGAGACCAATCACTAGATTCATTCATTGAATAGAGTCTCCAGATATCATATCATTCATAGGTCCTGTATCAGTAGTAGTCTCACTGTTCCCTGTACATTAGTAAGAGCTTCAGTAGCATAGTCCTTAGTTACATTATGTATTATTAAATCATTAACTGCTACCAGTTCATCTCCAGTCTTTATCTTTGAGTCTTTCTGTAACACTGACTCAGGTAGGATCCTCTTTACGTAAATGGGTACTCCCCAGTGGGAGAGCCATGCCCACCAACAATACTGAGACCCAACCCCTGACAATACCAGGGGAGAGTCCCACTATACTTTAAACTAATCTGCATATGATAGAAAAAGAGAGTTAGAGAGAGTTAAAAATAGAATATATACCATATAGCGCTTTATTTTGGAGGAGCTAAACTTTTGCTATTTTCACGGTTAGCATGAAACCGCAAAATTAAAGATCTGCTAATATTTCAATTGCCATTAAAGGCGTGGCACTAACATTACGAATCCACAAAAGTTATTTCCGCAAAAAATTGATTTTTATCAATCTGCGAAATTTTAGCCCCGCAAAATTAAAGCGCTATACAGTAGTACCCAGTGATACTACAGACTATATTAAAGTTGTTCAAGAATGCGTACTATGGTACAGGGGCCAAATTTTAAATTATGAGATGATAATAGGAGAAAGGAGAGAACTTAGAGAAAGAGAGATGAGTACACATAAACTTCACTTCCACTACTTGACAATTACATGAATACGTAACTTTTGCTGATAATAAGACCATGCACAGTCGACAATAATGCAAGAAATCTACATGTAACAGGTGAAGATCAATCAAGCTTGATAAAATATAGAGCATAGTCATTATAGTATCAGTTAATGTGTGTCTCATTATAATGTGGAGGAGGTGACATTATGTTAAACATTAATTGATTTAGTGAGGACTAACATACAATGAATGAGGTCCAATACTGTATCATTGATAATGTGTACGAATAATTGAAATTTAGGAACAAGGGGTCTGGTACTAATTACTGAAGTAGACCCCCTGGGGATTACATCAACCATGATGTAACTCAGTAGTCTTGTGGATACTGCCTGAAGTTCCTGAAGTCAAGTGCATTAGGTCACAACTTTGAATCCCATTCTGGGCCTAAGTTTTTTTTTTTTTTTTAATTTTTTTTCGAGGTCCAAATACCATTTTAGGAAATAGATGCCTGGGCTTTTATTTAAGAAAATACGGTACATATATATGTATCAGGAAATGTAATAAAAATTGAGAATTTTTTACTTTTCATTTTTGGCAAAATTTGGCCCGAGACCGTGTACTATAGTACAGGGACTTTTGTCTGATTTTGGAGAAACTTTAAAAATTCGTAAAAAATCCAAATTTGATCAGAATCAGCTCAAAATTTCTACACAACATAAGTACATGTATATGCATCAGGAAATGCAATAAAAATTGTAAATCATCAACTTTTCAATTTTGGCGAAATTTGGTACAGGGACTTTGACCTGATTTTGGAGAAACTTTAAAATTTGTAAAAAAAATCCAAATATGATTGGAATCAGCTCAAATTTTGAACACAACATAAGTACATGTATATGTATCAGATAATGTATTGAGGTGTTTGGTCAGTACTAACATACAAACTTACTCTTCTTTGTCTCAGTTTGACCAGTAGCTATATTCCCCATTGTTTCTTGTACTGGTATTGTAATGGTGCTATTAGTATCAGTGAGTTTACTTCTCTTCGTGTATTGATTGAAGAAAGAAGGTCTGTACAGTTTTATTAGTGAATCCAGTGCTGATACATCTCCAATCATAATGACTCCTTTATCAAACATCACTTTAACAAACTGAGGTATGGTTACCCATCAAGATGGACACTGCTTATGAAGGTAAGGGTGTTTGGTCTCTCTCTTACCGGATGAAGATCATACAAGAAGGAGGTGACAGTCAAGAGTAGGTCTGCTTTAGGATAAGAGGACGCCATGTTAAAGTCAGGGGAATTCAGCTAGTCCAATGAATCCAAACTTCTTCAATACGTGTACAGTGAAGGATACTGATAGCTGGAGGTCTCCTGTAGAAGTGTTGAGAGAATTGAATAAGTTAAATAATGAGGTCTCCTCTTCCATTCCTCTGATCCCAGCACCATAAAGAGACAGGCGGTACACTTCAACATGAAACTGATCCACTCTATCACTCATACTGCTCAATAGACTAATGATGGCTGCTGCCTCTGCTGCATCCATTTTAATGAGTAGGAGGAGCATAGAGAGACAGCAATCTGCATTCTGCAAATAAGCAGCAAATCATCACTAACAGCTATTATGCAAGATCTAAAAAACTAATTTTATCAAAAAGGCAAAGGCTAAATTCACAACAAAAACTAATAGCTCTAATAAAAACAATTGTTTCACTCTAGTTCACACTACATATGAATTGTACGATCATCATCTAAATGATGAAGAACATATTCTGCAGCTGCCTGACATGCGAAAGGCTTCCAATCTTTGTATTCAATCTTCTTCCCATCAGCCAAATCTCCAACGGCTTTAATGACAATAGCTTCCACTTTATGATCCTTAGCAGCAAGAAATATTCCAGCTCCTTCCATTTCCCCAGCGAGTGCATCAGGACGTGCTTTGCTTAATTTCTCCTTAAATTCTGCATCGTCCACCAAAGCAGGAGTAGAAACCATGGGACCACAATGAACTTTGACTTCTTTGGCATTTTCTTTATCAAAACTAGGTTTCACCATATTAAATCTACGAGATTTCCCAATAACTGATACAATATCATTACGAGGATTCCTAAATAATGATACAAGAGTATCTCCTGCTTTGTCTGCATCTGTTATACGAGCCTTGATACAACCTGGTTCCACACGAATGTTATACAAGTCAGCAATACGGTCTGAAACAATGACATCTCCAAGGTTTACTTCTTTTCCGTCCATTCCAAAGCAGACTCCAATGGCGATTATATATTTTGGCTTAAATATCTCCATTATCTTATTTGTGACTTTTTCAGCAGGTAAGGAGCCTTGTTGACCCTTTGTATGTGCACTCTGTCCAACAACAACTGGGTGCTTCCCATACTTTCCAATGTACAAATCAACACCATTTTTAAACTGTTCAATAACTTCATCCCGACCATCTAACGGCTTCAAACGCTCCAACACTCCTTTCAGCTCTGGATCAGTGGCAGTCATCAGCAGGAATTTAATACCTTTAGTGACATCATCAGATACCTTTTCCTCTATAGATAAAATCAACATTATGCAAATGTAATATAAAAACAATATTAATGCACACATGCTTCATCTCAAAAAAGATCAGTAAACATAGTAATATACCTTTTCCTGCTGCTGTAACAGTGTTCGTGCTATTAAATGAGTTAGTACTGGTTTGTGTGCTACCAGAAACTGTGCAATTACCTGGCATAAAGATGTAAAAAATCGATCAAATAATACCCAGATTGCACGGTACATGAAATTGCAAGTAAAAATAGTTACCATTACTAACAAATCTAACATTAAAGTAATGTAAAGTGTGATCAGCACATCATATAAAATTATTAACATCTTACATGATACCATTTCACGATTTGCATAAATGTAAAATACCTTGTCCTTGAATTTGACAGCCTTGATTATAATAATTAATATTAATTATTGTATTAAATGATAACAAATAAATCTATATAGTATCTACTCAAGTAAGGTAGTCTTCACACTGCATATTGTTAAATCAATGTTTACATGCAGTTTTATTAATCACATCCACACATTATTAATTATTACCTCCTCCAGTAGTTGGTGGCTGGTTGACTTGAGCTGAAGGTTGTCCTACATTATGATAGCAAAGTGACATGAAACCAGCAACACCATAATAGTGTAAATTAATGAGGGCTGTATAATTTTATTCTGCAGATTTCACTTGAAAAAATTAAACCCATGACAATCAATAATTATTTGTAATGGCACAAGTGCAGTGTAATTTCTGAAAAACTAAATCTTCAAAAATATATTATTGGGCAAATTTGCAAAATTTAATTCAAAGAATTTAAAGAACTAAAGGTATATGCATTTATGAAAACTGTAATAATTATTATAGATAATTCACATGTCAAAATGTTATAATTTTCAGTTTCTGAAGATGAAAGATTATAACTTTTATAAAATACCTTTTTCTGCTGCAACAGTGCCTGTGGCTCTATCATCAGGAATAGTAGGAGCTGGTGCTGTATTGTCTTGCGTGGCATCATCAGAAACTGTGGAAGAATTTGGGGAAGAGTAAAAACAATTGGTTAAGACAATATACATTGTAATTCTAATTTCATCAGGTAGCAGGTGTAATTGCATGGTGCATTTTTGGCACCTGAAGGCTGAATCTCATACACATGAAATACATACAAGTAAACAACAGCTGCTAGTTGTCAGTGATATTTGATAATATAATTGCATAGAATATTTTGTAAATAAATATTGATGTCATCACAAATGAATTTCATGTAAAAAATGCAGAGTAACCATTATAAAAGTTTATGTAAGTATTATGAGCAATAACTATACAGTAATTACTATACCATATACATGACACCATCATTCACAATGACTTTTCTAAGAGCATTTAGAAGGTAGAGATAAGTCTTAATGTTTTGTTTTATTTTCATTCCCTTTCTACTCTGTGTCTTTCTTTGATACATGGTATTTTATTTTATACTTTACAAATAGGAAAAATTATAATCAAAAATGGCTATATGGTAAAATGTTTCCCTTAATCATGAAGAATACCTAGTTCTACATACCAAATGTGCTATTAGTATTAGTGAGTTTACTTCTCTCCATGTATTCATTGAAGAAAGAAGGTCTGTACTGTTTTATTAGTGAATCCAGTGCTGATACATCTCCAATCATAATGACACCTTTATCAAACATCACTTTAACAAACTGAGGCATGGTTACTGATCTATAGTTGTACCCGTTAAGATAGACACTGCTTATGAAGGTGAGGGCGTTTGATCTCTCTCTTACCGGATGAAGATCATACAAGAAGGAGGTGACAGTCAAGAGTAGGTCTGCTTTAGGATAAGAGGACGCCATGTTAAAGTCAGGGGAAGCATATCTTGTTAGTTCAGCTAGTCCAGTGAATCCAAACTTCTTCAATACGTGTACAGTGAAGGATACTGACAGCTGGAGGTCACCTGTAGAGGTGTTGAGAGAATTGAATAAGTTAAATAATGAGGTCTCCTCTTCCATTCCTCTGATCCCAGCACCATAAAGAGACAGGCGGTACACTTCAACATGAAACTGATCCACTCTATCACTAGTACTGTTCAATAGACTAATGATGGCTGCTGCATCCATTTTTAATAATGAAAAGGCGGAGCATAGAGTTAGAGAGCAGATCTACATGTGTGGCTGAAAATGGTGGATATACATCCATAGATATTAGAGTTATCTATGATACATCCCATTCTTTTTCAAATCAAAATTGGACAAAAAATAATAAACTCAAAACACATTTCAAAATGCAAGATTAAGTATCTAATAATAATAGTAATAATAAGAGTATCACTCTATAGCACACTACTTTAGAGCATCTGGAGCAGCATCATTCAAATGATGATGAATATACGTAGCAGCTGCATGAGATGCAAAATCCTTCCAACCTCGGCATTCATCTTTCTTCCCATCACCCCAATCACCAACAGCTTTAATGACTATAACTTCTGGTTTATGATGAGCATGTCTAGCAGCAGAAAATATAGCAGCACCTTCCATTTCACCAGCAAGAGCATCAGGACGTGCTTTGCTTAGTTGCTCTTTAAATTCTTCATCATCAACCAAAACAGGAGAAGAAGCAATGGGGCCACAATGAACGTTGACTTCTTTGGCATTTTCTTCCTGAGAATGCTTCATTTTAAACCCAGAAATGTCGCTAAAAAATGATGAAAGAGTAGTTCCTGCTGGAGGTTGAGGCTTACGAGGTATGATACTCCCTGGTTCTTTACGAAAGTCAGATAAGTCCACAATGAAGTCGGAAACAATGACATCGCCAAGGTTTACTTTGCTTCGATCCATTCCAAAGCAGATTCCAACTGCAATTATATATTTTGGCTTAAATATCTCCATTATTTTATTTGTGATTGTCAAAGCATCTAAGCCACCTTGTTGACTTTTAGCATTAGCACTCCTTCCAACCACAACTGAGTACCCCCCGCATTTTCCAACGTAAATACGAGTATTGTTAATGAACGATTTGATAACTTTATCCCAACCATCTAACGGCTTTAAGTAACCCAGCACTCCCCTTAGCTCTACATCAGTGGCAGTCATCAGCAGAATACGACTATCTTTAACGATATCTTTCACATGACCTTCAGATAGCTTTGTCTCATACTCTTTTTTATTCAGTTCTGGAAATAATTCAGGAGGTGGGACTGCAATTAAAAATTAAGAATTGCTAAACAAATAATGAGGACTTTGCTGTGGTATTTATACAATAACTGACAACACATTATAACAATTTTAGTGACATACATGTGCCTTCTTTTGCTGCACTAGTAACAGTAGGAGCTGGTGCTGTATTGCTACTCTCAGGAGTTGGTTCTTTGGCTTGTGTGGTAGTACCAGGAACTTCTGAAAGGAGACAAATATTTTAAATTGCACACACACATATCATGACACATGTACTGTACATAACATTACAAGTAAATAACCATCAATATATATATACCTTGTGCTTCCTGCTTTGAACTAGGCAAAAAAAATTTTTTGACTCGAGTAAAGAAGTTTGGCTGATCTATAATGAAAAGAAAACAGGATGATTAACTAACAATTACACTTAAATAAGTTTATGAATCTATGGCTGATATTGGATTAATTTTACTTACCAGTTGGAGCTGATGGACTTTGACCTAAAGTGGCTTGAGCCTTAATCTCTTGGATTGGCACTGTCTCTTGGGTTGGCAGACTTGGCACTACTGTCTCATTAGTCATTGGAGCAGTCTCCTTGCTTGGTCCTATCATAAGTAGTAATGACTTTCAGTGGAAAAAGGATTGATTTCCTTACCTTTGCATCTCTTTTCATACTTCTCAAAGAAGGTAGGATATCGTACTGTATCCTCGATGTTAGAGACATTACCAGCTTCAACAACACTACGCTCCATCAGTAACCGTGTAAACTGGACTCTACTCATATTAGACACATTGTGGCTCTTGAGGTGAAGTGAAGAGGTGTACACCTTAGCACTGCTGAAGTCCCTCTGACTCATGTTACCATAGTAATCAGCAACTGTTAGGCAGAGATCTATTTTAGGATAAGACGTGTTAAGATCAAAGTTTGGTAACGAAAATGGCTTCAATTTCTTCGTATCTCCCCAACCAGATCTTTCCAGGACTCCAATGGTCAAGGAAACAGCAAGAGGGTATTTCCCAAGATTTCCTGTCAAATCAGCGAAAAGTTCAAAAAAGGACTTGTTAGAATCAAACGCAATACTGCATAATACAGTGAGAACCATACGATAGCGATCAATTTGATAGTCACCTAAACGAGGACCCAGTTCATCACGTATGACTTTAATAACAGCTGGCCTGAACTCAGTAATCTTCTCCAATTCCTCATTTATTTTTGTGTCAATTTCAACCTCAGTATGCAGGTATGCTCTGAAATCCTCCATTTCTTCATACCCCAGGCCAGTCAGTATCTTGTACACATAACTTGCAGCAACTTGTGGAGACTTCTCTGATGCGTGGGTGGAGTATAACTCTAAAAACCTTCTTGATAACGACCAATCAGGTTTCACATCACATTTCACATTAATGATTGCCAGTAATCTGATATACTGATCAACTATGTATCGAGGAAGAGAATGAGACATATTCAACATAACATCATATAACTGTTTACCTAAAAATAATAACTTCATAATAACTTGAGACTAAATGTGATAGTACATACCATATGACGTATCTGTCACACTTTGCTCTGGTGATGGAATACTAGTATGACCTTCTCCATTTGCTGATACACTTTGCTCTGGTGGTAGAATACTGGCCTCATCTTGTACCTCAATGGTATCTTGTGGTGTAGCGCCCTGAGGTGCTTCCTCTCCTTCAGTCAGCTGTGGTTGTGGTACTTGTACAGTATCTTGTGGATCATCTTCCTTGAAATAACGATCATCTAATACTTCACTAGCACTTGGTCTATTATTATTGATAAAATTAGTAAAATTTAAAAAAGCCTTATGCACCTTGAAGCTCTGTCACGCGTTATCATTTTAAAAATTAAAGCAGTAGCTTTTGGCTTGCCATTCAGTGGATGAAAATCACATGGATTGTAATTTTTGACATTTTGATGAATAGCGGCACCACGACTATCTCCAGTATCAAAAGGATGGTTTCCATCAGTTTCAGCAAAATATATGACACACCCCATTGAAAAAATATCTGACTGTAGACTGAATTGCTATAAATAAATGACAATTTGTTATGCAATAAATTAATTGTGACATTTATAACTACTGAGGTGATTGCAGGTTACATGTCATTCATTATACTTACAAGCTCTAATCCATCTTTCACTAACAGTTCAGGAGCCATCCATGATAGAGTTCCTCTCTTGTTCAATGTAGTTTTTAAAGACCGATCATCATCTAATTTTGTAGATAAATCGAAATCAGCCAGAACTGCTTTAACTTCAGATGAAGAGCTCTTTTGTACTAAAAGAATGTTTCCTGGCTTGATATCTCTATGGACTGAAAGTGTAAATATACTAACTAACACTATAGTGTTTTACTGTATTGCTTAATAGTAACACATGTACATGTACATTATAACATACCAATGTTTTGTTCATGTAAATACTCCAATCCTCTCACTGCATCTTGATTCACGTCTTTTTTGACAACAGTCAATCCATTAAATTTATTCATTACTTTTTCAAATTCCTTGAAATACTATTGTACATGTATTAACACATACAATGATATCATGAGGTTAACTAACTTGATGGAATGAAGCCAAACAAAGCTCCAGAACAATGTGGTCAAGACCCTGATAACTTTCCTAATAATAGTACTTCATCAAGATGATTAGTAATTTAACAACTCACAATACAAAGAACCAGTACAATATTTTTATGTTTAATATTTAATAAGAGCTCTTTATATTCATCAGATAATTCTTCTTTCATCCTTTTCACTGCAACATCTTCCTCTTTAAAAGTACCTCTATAAATGTAAAGGAAACTCATAAACTAACATGCAACTGCACTAACTTGTGAACAGTGCTACTAGCTCCTTTTCCTAGCAATAACTTCTTATCAAACTGGAATGAAAGACTCTCGTTAACTATATTATGGTCATAAATACAAATAAAATTAAAAAGGCAACATACTTAAAACTAGTGAAGATTCAGGGTCTAAAGAAATGAGAAACAAAAATTAATTTTTAGTAACTTGAGTACATTTACTACATCTTCCACAACTCTAGCTTAAAATTTTCTGTGTACACACCCAAAAGTTGAAACCTGAATTAAGATGAATTCTAATCTAAATCAGTTGTGATATCAGTCTGAATCATGGATTTGACACTCAGTCACAATAATTATAATAAAATCAGGCATGATACAATTATGATAAATATTCATATTGGTTCAGGCCAGAGCAATAGGGCTAGGCAAATTATACTTCAATTTCTGCCTATTATGGAGAAACTTTAAAAATTCGTAAAAAAATCAAAATTTGATCGGAATTAGCTCAAATTTTCTACGTAGCATAGGATGATAACATCAAGTGTATAATGTACATCAGTGATTGAATCATTTATTAATATGTAATTACCTGATGGTTGAGTGGCTTCTGGACTAGTAGCAGATGCTGTTGTTGGATGAGAAACTGTAAAAATAATAATTATTATAACATAATCTATGTACCTCCCCATTAGTCCAGTGATAGATGGCTGCTCAATGCTTTTGTGCATTAATTTTTCATAGCAGGTGCTGTTGATGAACTATATATGACAGTACCTGAGTCAAACCTCTCTCTAAAAGGGATACCTATGGGCAGCCCTACTGTCCTTTATATGGAGGCCTCCTTAAATTGGAGGAATCTGGTTACACTTAGGCCAAATGTGCCATTTTCTTTATTGACTAGTGACTGTATGTAATATACAGTATATGAACATTAGTCCATTAGTATCAGCTAATGATTGATCAGTTAATGTGTGTCTCATTATAATGTGGAGGAGGTGACATTATGTTAAACATTAATTGATTTAGTGAGGACTAACATACACTGAACGAGGTCCAATACTGTATCATTGATAATGTGTAAAGAATCATAACTTACTGACAAATGCAAACTAGATTCATTATGCATGTGATTGTCAAGGCCAGTGTATATGATACATAGATGTAACAATATGATGATACAGTAGTTCCTACTTATAACATCAAGTATATAATGTACATTAGTGACTGAATCATTTATTAGTAGATGATTGGTCTTCATTAGTCGTTGTTGTTGACGGAACTACCAGCAGTTACTATAAAACTAACAATTATTATAATATATCCTGTGTCTCATTGAAGATATGATAACATTACTAGTGACAGTAGTGGGAGCAGTCAAACAGTTTGGGAACGACAAACAACTATTAAAAACAATTATTATTAAATACTATTATCACTATTATTAGTACAATGTGATACTATTAACAGATACACTCCTTATAACAGACACCTCCTCCTCTACTCCAGCAGACACTATTGACTAGTGACTGTATGTAATATACAGTATATGAACATTAGCCCATTAGTATCAGCTAATGATTGATCAGTTAATGTGTGTCTCATTATAATGTGGAGGAGGTGACATTATGTTAAACATTAATTGATTTAGTGAGGACTAACATACAATGAATGAGGTCCAATACTGTATCATTGATAATGTGTATAAATAATTGAAATTTAGGAACAAGGGGTCTGGTACTAATTACTATATTAGACCCCCTGGGGATTATAATTCAATACTTCAGTTACTCACTGATCATTAGGTGATCATTAGTCACAATATACTAGCAGTTACTTTATATTAATAACATAATGAGTCAATTACATACATTCATTACTAGTTATATTATTAACATTAAGTTAATTAACTAATACTATATCCCAGTTGAGTTTGGGACAAGAAAAACTCAAATAACTTTCTATAGGAATGTGGGATAAGGATGAAACTTTTACAGGTTCTTAGTCGCCAAAGTCCATCAAAATCTGTGAAATTTTGGGTCTCTCAGCCCTTGGGAACCCTGAGAACCGGGTTCTCCCTATAAACCCAATGGCATACCAAAATGACGTTTTATGACAATTTATCTACGTCATAGTTTACATAAGAACATGTGGTCGAGCGCCCAAACTGATAATTCTTCTTTTAAAAAGCTAACAGAGCCAGATCTTTTGATAATAATGGCCATTATGAAGACTAGTAGGCTCCGCAGCTATTGTACTGCTTATCAGCAACAGCAAGACTGTTTTAAGAGTGAAACAACACAGCCGCCATGCTTCTATGAATATAATTAAAATACGTCATTTTTGTGACGTAACTAAATTTCGCAGCTGCTTCCACTTCCGTCCCAAACTGAACTGGGACATAGTATAGAATTAAGTAATAACATTAATCTTAAGCAACTTTAAAACTTCATAAAATTCATAAAAAATCCAAATTTGATCGGAACCAGCTCAAAACTTCTACGCAACATAAGTACATGTATATGTATCAGGAAATGTAATAAAAATGGAGAATTCTCTACTTTTCATTTTTGGCAAAATTTGGCCCGAGACCATGTACTATAGTACAGGGACTTTTGTCTGATTTTGAAGCAACTTTAGAAATTTTTAAAAAATACAAATTTGATCGGAATCAGCTCAAACTTTCTACGCAACATAAGTACATGTATATGTATCAGGAAATGTAATAAAAATGGAGAATTCTCTTCTTTTCATTTTTGGCAAAATTTGGCCCGAGACCATGTACTATAGTACATTACATGAGGGAACTAAGCCCTTAACAAACATCTTTAACAAAATAAACACAACACAGAAATTACTAGGTTTAGAAGTAAGATAATAATAATAGAATAAGTGATAGGAACAGGGACTTTTGTCCGATTTTGGAGCAACTTTAGAAATTTGTAAAAAATCCAAGTTTGATTGGAATCAGCTCAAACTTTCTACGCAACATAAGTACATGTATACGTATCAGGAAATGTAATAAAAATAGAGAATTCTCTTCTTTTCATTTTTGGCAAAATTTGGCCCAAGACCATGTACTATAGTACAGGGACTTTTGTCCGATTTTGGAGCAACTTTAGAAATTTGTAAAAAATCCAAATTTGATTGGAATTAGCTCAAACTTTCTACGCAACATAAGTACATGTATATGTATCAGGAAATGTAATAAAAATGGAGAATTCTCTTCTTTTCATTTTTGGCAAAATTTGGCCCGAGACCATGTACTATAGTACAGGGACTTTTGTCTGATTTTGGAGCAACTTTAGAAATTTGTAAAAAATCCAAATTTGATTGGAATCAGCTCAAACTTTCTACGCAACATAAGTACATGTATATGTATCAGGAAATGTAATTAAAATGGAGAATTCTCTACTTTTCATTTTTGTCAAAATACCCTTTACTATTATAGTACATGTTTTCTTTAGAATGTATAACATCTACTGATAGTATTACAACAAGTGCTACACAGCCCTCCACTTATAATCAATTTATTGGTTTACTCAACTTACTATAAAGCTATGGTCCATATAGTCAATCCAACATCACTTTAACAAACTGAGGTATAGTCACTGATCTATAGTTGTACCCATCAAGATGGACACTGCTTATGAAGGCTTGAAATGCATTCATTTTAGGGAGTGGCTGATTAAAATTAAACTTATTAAAAATTATTAAATTTACATTAAAATTTTTCCCTGCAATAATCATATACCAGTATTACTGCTGCCTTATAATGCATTGGTATGTTAAATTATAAGGTTCCTCAGAATAAAGAGTCTTTCTAAATGTGAACATAGTGTTGGTTCTCTATTGGTTTGTGTGGTAGTACCAGGTACACCTGAAAGGAGACAAATATTTTAAATTACATACACACACATGTACATGAAATAGCAAATAAATAATCACCAATATATACCTTATGCTTCCTGCTTCCAGTCAAGAAACTTGGTTCATCTGTAATGGAAAGAAAACAGCATAATTAACTAACAATTGCACATAAATAAACTTATGAATCTATAGCTGATATTGGATTAATTATTAAGTTTATTTACCAGTTGAAGTTGATGGACTTTGACTTGAAGTAGCTTGAGCTTTCCTCTCTTGGACTGGCACTGTCTCATCAGTTGCTGGAGCAGTCACCTTGGTTGGTCCTATCATAAGTAGTAATGACTTTCAGTGGAAAAGGATTGATTTCCTTACCTTTGCATCTCTTTTTGTATTTCTTAAAGAAGAGAGGATATCGATCTTTATCTTCAATTTTAGAGACATCACCAGCTTCAATAACACCACGCTCCATCAGTAACCGTGTAAACTGGACTCTACTCATATTAGACACATTGTGGCTCTTGAGGTGAAGTGAAGAGGTGTACACCTTAGCATTGCTGAAGTCTATATCTCTCATGTAACCATAGTAACCAGCAACTGTTAGGCAGAGATCAACTTCAGGATAAGACGTGTTAAGATCAAAGTTTGGTAATGAAAACGGCTTCAATTTCCCTGTATCTCCCCAATCAGATTTCTCCAGGACTCCAATAGTGATTGCAACAGCGAGAGGGTATTTCCCAAGTTCTTGAGTCAAATCCATGAAAAGCTCAAGAAAGGACTTGTTAGAATCCAAAGCAGTTCTACGTAGTAGAGTAACAACCATACGGTAACGCTCCACTTGATAGTCATGTAAGCAAAGACACAGTTCACGTACAACTTGAATCACAGCTGGCCTGAATTTCATTATCTTTTCCAATTTCTCATTTACTTTTGAGTCAATGTCCACTTCAGTATGCAGGTACCGGTATACACTGAATTCACCCATTTCTTCATACCCCAGGCCAGTCAGTATCTTATCAACGTAACTTGCAGCAACTTGTGGAGACTTCTTTGATGCATGGGTGGAGTATAACTCTAAAAACCTTCTTGATAGCGACCAATCAGGTTCTATACCAGACTTCACACCAACGACTGCCATCAATCTCATGTAATGATCGACTATGAACTCAGGCAGTGAACGGGATATATTAACCATAACATGATACAACTGTTTATCTAAAAATAACTTCAAATAACTTGAGACTAAATGTGTTAATACATACCATATAAATTATCCAATGAGTTTTGCTTCGGCTCTTTATCTGGTGATAAAAGTATGGTATCTTGTGAATCATCTTCCTTGAAATAAGGATCATCTAATACTTCACTAGCACTTGGTCTATTATTATTGATGAAATTAGTAAAAAGGTAAAATAGTCATGTATACCTTGAATCTTTGTTATGCTTCATCATATTCTTAATTAGAGCTCTAGCTACTGGCTTGTCATTCAGCAACTGAAAATCACAGATCATATAATTCTTGATATTCTGGTGGACTGTGTAGTCATTATCATGTCCTTTATTGAAAGGGTGTCTTCCTTTAGTTAGCACATAGTAGATGATACAACCCATTGAAAAGATATCAGACTCTCGACTAAATTTCTATAAATAAAAATACAAAACATATTTACATCATGTTGTTCAATAAACTAACACAGTCTGTTAAATCATCAAGTAATAGCTCTGGAGCCATCCATGTATCAGTTCTTCTACCTCTCTGTCTTGTCACAGCTTCTCGTTCATTCAATTCAGTAGAGATTCCAAAGTCAGCCAGAACTGCCTTAACTTCAGATGAAGAGCTCTTTTGTACTAAAAGAATGTTTCCTGGCTTGATATCTCTATGGACTGAAAGTGTAAATATACTAACTAACAATAGTGTTTTACCGTAGCATAAGTTACCAATGCTTTCATGTACATGTAAGTACTCCAATCCTCTCAGTGCATCTTCAATTATCTTTACTTCAGTAACAGTCAACCCAGAAAATCTGTTGGCTACTTTTTGATAGTTTTCAAAATACTATCATTACATGTGTTAAAACACAATAATGATATCATTATACAATAATGATATTAAAACACAATAATGATATTATTATACAATAATGATATTAAAACACAATAATGATATTATTATACAATAATGATATTACAACACAATAATGATATTAAAATACAATAATGATATTATTATACAATAATGATATTAAA